CTATCAGTTTTACCACATTACTTTTGATGCTGCTTGACTTACTGATCATAAAGTACACTATAGAAGAGAGAAGTCAGAAATAGATATAGGTAATGAGGACTCCTGGAATTATGCTTTTTATGAGAAAGAAATTGTGAACCTAACATCATGAATATTTTTAATTCATAAATACCATGAATAAATATTTCTCACATTTAAATCAATATCAAAACTGACTGCCTTACACTCTTAAAGCTCATGGTGGATTTTTTTCTACCTATAATGTGAGTATTTTCCTATTTTAGAGACAGGAAAACCAATTTTATAGCCTTTCATAGTTCTCCTTAGGGCTGTGATCCATAATCTAGTGGTGTGCCCTAGTTTGACTTCCCTATGAATATATCCAGTCTCTAACTAGACATATATTAAAGTTCTATCAGCTTTGTGTAGTGCCTGCTTACTTGACAGTTTTGTTCCACTGACTAGTTCCCTAGGCCATGATTCATCACCTGTAGCAGGAAAGGATTTCAGTAACAAAGAAGATCAGGGCCATCCATGGAGCAGGCAAACAAAATGCACAACTGGTGGCTTTTCTAGTATCCCTGTTGGGTTTCTGGGGTTTTGTAATTTTCCCTAGAAACCCACCCCAAATGATTTGATAAGATACTCAACAGCCCTCTGTTCCCACACCATCTATGTAAGTATTAAATTCTTAAGTGAGACTGCCAATACTGCATGAAAAATAAATGTGGTGAGTCCAATTCTCCTCTCTTCTGGCAGGAGCTGCATCAATAAAACCACTCAAGACATTCAGAAATATGTGGAGTTTTCCATGGGAGACTGCAGATCGATGAACACACAGAACTTGTCCTTGTCACCCCTGCTGCGGAGCCTTCTCTTCTCAGCCTGATGACACATCAATAATGGTGTCTGAGTCTCCGGCTACTGTTACAGACTATAAATGTCTCCTGATATTAATCTTTCAGAACAGGATTCCTGATTCCCCTCCTTGACACTTAGTCTAGCCCCTCATTCTTTGATAGACTTTATTAGTTTTTGAGTGTGAAGAAATCCACATTAAAAACAAAATCAAAATAAAACAAAGAGAAACACTAAACGAGCTTACCACAGTTGACAGCATTTCCAAAACTGTGTCTTTAAATTGATGGAAGCATTTTGAAAAGTTGTTTGTAAAATAAATGATCTGCTTCAGCCTTAGTTTAAATATTAACATGCAAAAACATGATTTGAAAACAATGTCCTGTAAGAACATAACCGATCTTCCTCCTTTACAGAACACTATCCCCAAGAGTTGATAAAATGAGAACTTAGTGAAAAACGCATCAAATTTGCTCAATTTCTTACTCTGTATTCAGATGAGGGCTTGCAGTTTTTTTCATAAAACATTTCCTTGAGATGTGCCATATGCTGGACATTGTGCAAAAGCATGCACGGTAATGAGCAATGAGAATGTGTCATGTCAAGTGTCCCCAAAGCAGGTAAGTCAACCTGTTTCCAAACTGCAAGCTAAAGAAAGCCTGCATGGTCACAGCGTGACAGGGAAGGCACTGAGAAGGGGAAACCTTAGAGCTGGGGCTGAGGCCATGAATAAGGGGTTTGTTCACAGAAAATACAGAGAACGACAAAGAAGACTCACTACAGGAACATTAAGCATAACAATGTGTAAAATTCATGATGGGACAGCAGTTAGCTTCGACATAAGTGAGGCTGAAAACCTTGAAGCAATGACAGAGAAGTCTGGGAAGAATGATGGGAAGAATCTTCTGTACTATAATAATCCCTAACTTTTTAGACTAGTTGTTCCTATATCCGAGTTATCTTCAGAGTCCCCAGGATAGAATTTTAAACATACAAACTCTTTGATTCATGTCTAGAGCTTCTAATTTGAAGGTAATGAGTGAGGTTCATTGATACGATTTAAAAAAAAAAATTCCCTCGGCCCTCGCCCTTCACTACATGAACAGCCTGGACATGAGTGGGGGTAGTGAAGGGCGAGTGCCGAGGGAAAGAGAGCTTGGGGGAGCGGGAGATCCCAGCTGAATCAACAACAGAGAGGTGAGAACAAGGAATAGGAGACCATGGTAAATGAAGACCACATGAGAATAGGAAGAAGCAAAGTGCTAGAGAGGCCCACAGAAATCCACAAAGATACCCCCACAACAGACTGCTGGCAATGGTCGAGATACAGCCCGAACTGACCTACTCTGGTGATGGGATGGCCAAACACCCTAATTGTCATGCTAGAAACCCCATCCAACTACTGAGGGATCTGGATGCAGAGATCCATGGCTAGGCCCCGGGTGGAGCTCTGGGAGTACAACTAGCGAGAAAGAGGAGGGTTTATATGAGTGAGAATTGTTGAGATCAAGGTTGGATAAAGCACAGGAACAAATAGCCAAACGAATGGAAACACATGAACTATGAACCAATGGCTGAGTGGTCACCAACTGGATCAGGCCCTCTGAATGGGTGAGACAGTTGATTGGCTTGATCTGTTTGGGAGGCATCCAGGCAGTGGGACCCGGTCCTGTGCTCATTGCATGAGCCAGCTGTTTGAAACCGGGGGCCTATGCAGGATTGTTTGGCTCGGCCTGGGAGGAGGGGACTGGACCTGCCTGGACTGAGTCTACCAGGTTGATCTCATTCCGCGGGGGAGGCTTTGCCCTGGAGGAGGTGGGAATGGGGGGTGGGCTGGGGGGAAGGTGAGGGGGGCGGGAGGGGGGAGAACAAGGGAATCCGTGGCTGATATGTAGAACTGAATTGTATTGCAAAATAAAAATTAAAAAAAAATCTAGGCATGATTATTAAAAAATAGGCCATATCAAATGGAAAATAATAACAACAACAAAAAAACCCAAAAAACAAAAACAAAAACAGCCTGAAGAGCTTGGAAACAATCTGCTACATTCTTGTAATTTAATAATCATCTTAATTAATTTTATAGGAATATAAAGGAATAAAATATCTCTTAGCAGAGAGGTTACACATGTGAGACATAGACAGGTTTTACTGGTCATATTCAAAATCTAAACTCTCTCTCTCTGTCTCTCTCTCCCTCTCTCTATGTGTGTGTGTGTGTGTGTGTGTGTGTGTGTGTGTGTGTGTGTGTGTGTATCCTGTTAATTTGTGTATTTAGGCTTGTTCATTAATTAGTTGCCTTTACTTCACAATGTGAATATTTGATGTAACAAATTTGGTTCTCTAATTTCTTTGGACACATAGGACATATGACAATACTTGGCCCAGTTTCTAACTTGGTGACAATTGGCTGCAAGCCCCCTCAGGCTGGACTTGCATCCTCCAGGTGACACAGCCCTTATCTGCCACTCTTTTCTTTTCACTATAGCTTGAATCAGTTCTGACCTCTCTGGCTATTGAGGGTCCACATACGACTTCGTAACCAAGATTTAGAGGTTATTTGGCTTGGAAAAAAAAGTGTAAATATTGCTTGTAGTTTTAAACTGCTATGTATAACAGAGAAAGATTAAGTAAATGTGTGCCATAGAACCGCTAGGTTGCTTTATGATATCAATGTGTGAATTTTGAGAACAAACAAAAGCAAGTGATAGTTTGAAGAAATATGAAAAAAATGTCATTTTTTTTTCTGAGCATGTACTACAAAGGTTATGGTGGGGAATCTAAGTGTCTTTTTAGAGTCGTTTAATCAGCTTAATAACACTAAAAGTATCAGAAGATAAACTCTGTGAGGGACAGGGATCTCTATTGATTAATTTATAACAACTGGAGTTATGCTGAGTACAAAGCAGATGTCCAGTAAGTAGTTTCAAATAGGCAAATAACAGATAAGTTAAAATTACTAAAATTGATCTTCTGGGGTGCCAACCAAGGTCATACAGGTCTTAAATGTTTTAATTAGAATTGAATCACTATGTTGCTTTTATAACTTAGGAGTCTCCACTGCCAAATATGGGATTCTACATTTCAGTGAAGCGAGTCCTCAGACATATGTGTCATTTCTTGCCTGAGAGAAGGGAGTCCATTGCCATATGTCAATTCAAATGGTGCCAAAAATCCTTCTGTGCACTGTTTTGTTTCTGTTTTATTCTCTTCACTAGACAAACATTTTATACTATTTAGATATGCAAATTATTGTGTTGGTGACAGTGAGTTTAATAGAAGAGCATGATACAGTTTCAGACTCTCCGGAGCCTCATAGAACTGCATTTAAAATCACCCAATGCAGCATATCCTTCCCGGCCCGCCTTAAATCTGGTCTAATGTTTTGTCTGACAAGCTACAAAGACTCTACATAATTACAAAATGCACCCACAATGCAAATATCTGCTGAATTTTAATGCAACCCTTACTTGCCCCAAGATATTAATCAAATGAAATTAGATTTCTAGAATACTTTATCGATGAGATGAGTTAGCTTAGCTTAGCTTGGCTCCTTTCTGCCATCAACATGTATTAGGCAATCCTCAATTTGAATCTTATTCTGACCTTTCTCAACCTCACATCTTTGTGCTGATCAATATTCCCAGCTCATTTATGATGTTCTGACATTTTTTGAACATTGGGAATTCAGAAAGAGACTATTGATATTTATTACTCTGAAATAAATTGTATTTTATTAAGCATATGCTTATATTAAGAAGGAAAATGGGCAACTACATAAATGTATTAGATCTCTCCTCTCTTCATTTTATTGTGTTTTTACCATTCTAAGGCAACTTGAAAGTAATATTACAAATCTATCAAAGCACAATAGGAATTCATTTTAATTTTTCTTCAAACCACTTTCCTTTGTACATTTTTGAGTTAATATTGCTGATGAATAAAGTCAGGGATGATTTCTAATAAAAAATTTCAATTCAGGTAGAAGACCTTGATAGCCATAGTTCCACAGTGCAATGAGGAATATGAACAGAAGTGATGCCTTGGCAAACATGTAGGCGTGACTGCTTTGTCGGGCTCTCTCGCTAGCACAGACTAATCTGTTTCATGCAAGGACTCTGTTTTAAGATAAGACTGCCAAAGATCTCCTCAAGTGTTATTCTCAGATTGTGCATCATCTATCTTGCTATTGGATCTCACTGCCTTTGCTGAACAGCACACATTAAAATTAGAACAACTCTCAAGGGAAGCCAGGTTCCAAACATGAGGCTGTGAGTCTGGCCAGTCACTAGACAGCATCCTGTATCCCAGACTCGTGACTCTTTTCCTGCTGCCAACTTGCTCAAGAGCTTCTCATTACACGGTAGACAGTGAGAGAAACTGTAAACCAGCAAATTAAGGCCAGAATTACAAGGGATGACATTTTATTTTATTCAGACTGAAGACTAAGTAGTTTGGAGTAATAGTGTGACTTTATATTTAAGGGTATAGATAAGAAGACATGGTTATTTATGCAGAAAGTAAATCTCATAAACATTTGCTATTTCACTCGGGAGTAAGGAATCTTCTCAATGCTTATGGTAAGTACATAATAATATGAAGTAATAATCTAGATATGAATAAAGAAGAAAAACAATATGCCTTTAAATGATTACTACTTTTAAATTATGCATAAGAAAACATTAAAAAGCACATTAAAATATTATTTGATATATTACATTATGCTTATGGAGTTAAGAGTAATTTGATTTTTGAAAATGTTTGTAGATATATCATTTTGATGCTGAAATATTGAGAAGTGACAAATATAAAATAAAATACTATACAAAAGATGATTAATTTGTCAATGGAATGATCCAGCTTTTGACATGGTGATTTACTTAAATAAATACAAATACTGTTAGAGCAATTTGAAAAGGGTGTTCTCCAGTTTCATGGCATATTTTCTCCAATAGTTTTTTTCAAACATTTCTATTTCAAGTGTAGTGATCACAATTGAATATGATGAAAGCACATAATAAGTCTAGGCAAAAATTAAGGCAAATTTTTCATTAGAGGAAGATGAGATAATATAAGAGAAGCTTGTGTGAGGTATGATTATATTTCAAGTAGCCTGGTAAATGATGACAAGAGAGTAATTCTATTAAGAGAAAGACAAAAAAGATCCCAGATCTGTCTCATTTAAAAATGCTACATTCACAGACACCTTGGGGAATCAAATATAGGGGCAACAAAAAGGTTATTTGAGATCCATTTGAGATTATGTCAACTAAAGGAGCTGAGGGACTGGCAAGATAAAGACATTTTTTGTTCCTATTCAATGCTTCTGATATGCTCCATTAAACTCATAAAAAAGAGAGACAAAGAACAACAGGAAATGGTTGATTCATTTCAAGGTTTCTGAGTAGTTTCGAGAGAGCTAAGGGGCATCATGATGACATCTGGTATGCCTCCTGGAATCCCTTGCAAAGTTATCCATTGTGAAAAGTTTGCAGTGCCCTTCACAATGAAAATGTGCTTTCTTTTTCTGAAAACCAAGTAGGTATGCCTAGCTCTGAGGGTCACTTTTTATTGGGGTATTTTGTGTGTTTCCTAATTTGAACGTGCCAACAGGAGCATCTACTCCAAGGCACTGGAAAAGTGGCAACTTGAATGATGATGTTTCAAAACTTATTAAACACAGAAGCGTGCTGATGAGATTTCTAAAATGAGGTCATATGTCAGGAGGACAGGAAGAAGACGAAATGGGTGGGCAGCGAATAAGAGGTAGTGCGGGAACGTCTGTGGTTATAAAGAGCTATAGAAAGTGCATTGTTCACTTCTATAGTCAATAGCTCTGTGACAGAGTGACACATTAGACCGAGATACACACAGATCAAGGAGATTTTAAATTTAGAAATGTCTTTCCTTCAGTATCCTCAAGATTTACTCCCAGTCTTGGAGATATAAAATCCAACAGCAAGTAAAAGATGTAGGAGCATTTCTTGGCTAACCTTGTGTGTTCTTCCAGCTCCCACACAGCCTATCCAGCATATTCCTGAAAGCGTCCATAACAAACATCTTTTTGTGTGTTCAATAGGATCACAATATTTATCCTTGGCTATCCTGGTAATTGCTATGTGAACCATGTTCACCTAGAAGACATAAAGACCTGCCTACCTCTACCTCTGGAGTATTGGGATTAAAGATGTGTACCACCATTCCCAGTTGCATTGTCTTTTGTTTGTTTGTTTGTTTCTTAAGTAGGTAAGAATTACCTGAACATTTTTGGCAGCCTGTTCTTTATCTTCTATCTATTCATATCATAATAACAAAGAATCATATAACAAGATTAAAATTCCAGTTAAACATAATAGTTTGCTAAAATGGCCTAAAACAATATAAATATTTTAATAGACAACAGAGTAGAATAATCAGCTCAAATCAAAAAAATATACACGTATATCTATATATTTACTTAAAACTTTTGTTAGGAAGATGTGGTTGTAGGGGCTGAACCATATGAGTTTGAAGCTTAATTCTAGGAACTATCAACTTTGTCAAACAATGTACCATTTAAGCACGCCATCCTCTAGGATAATGGATGCTAAAATGCACTTAGAAAACAAAAAAAAGAGCCTGGTCTTAATATCTCAGGTTTTAATATTATTTGGTAAAATTTTTCTTATTTTCACCTTACTTTAGTGTTGAATAATCAGTCTAATAATAAAAAACATCCAAGTTGAATTATAGAAATTATTTTGCCTTCTCCCTTCCATGTTATGATGTCTAGATTTAGAGTTACATATGGGCATAACAGATCCATCATCTGGTGTAGGATAAAGGAGAAATAGTGTTCCTTGGCCTATTAAGCTGTAGGAGTAAAGCTAGAACATGAATCAGTTTTTCTACCTATTTCCTCTCTTCCTCTCCTCCTTCCTTCCTTCTGCCTTGCCCTTTCTCCTGCTGTTTATAGCAAAATAGTCGTGCCATTTATTGATCCCCAAACAAAGAAAAGACCATTCAGGTAAAATGTATAATCAATGTGTTCCACAAAGGTACTTCAGGGATTCCACAAAATTTGCTGTTGTTCCCTTATCTCCTTACATGGTTGGAAAGGCTGTAACCAAGGCTGTCATTCACAATCTTTGTTGTGAACTCATTTCTTTCAACAGATTCAAGCTACATATTCTTCTAGTTCTGTGAATTCTTTAAAATAAAGAAAGGATAAGTTTTTTTTTTTTTACAAGAATAAAGAAGCTATAAATCTCTACAACAAAACCAGTTAGTAAAAGGACCTGAGCTGTCTTTCAGCTACCAGACTGTTTGAAAGATGCTCTTGCTTCTTCATAATCTGTTTACTTCACAGGACTGTAAGGACTTCATTCCTCTTTGAATACCTATAATAGGTGACTTCCCAGTAATAGCTGATTCACTGAATGAGTTTTTCAAGACATATGTATACCCTAAAGGTGTACAACTTCAGCAGTTCAGTGATCACCAAGCCTGTGTTTTCTCTATGATCCTGTATACATAACCAAACTAGTATGTTCTCCACAAGAGGAATGGTAAGAAAAACTCTGGTCACACGTAATAGGGAATAAGGAGGAGGTTGAAAAGTAGGGGGCAATAAAGGAGAAGTAGCAAAACAGAAGGATTAAAATAAGAGTTCAGTATTAAATAACAGTGAAAATTTTAGAATTTTATTTGAGTCTACTTAGTATTCACAAGCTTATGTTTTGATAAACCCAAAGAGAGATATTTTATGAACAGGTAAATTTACTCTTAAATGAATTCTTGAAGGTAAGGTGTATACTGTGATTTCCCTCCTGAAAGAAGGCAACTGTAGAATGCGATTTGACTCCTCTCCCTGTGTGACTGAACAGAACTGCAGCAGGATGGGAAGGGACCTGCATCACTCTGACTGCCTCCATACTGTCACTGCCAGTGCTGTCATTGTGAGTGCAACTGTATGTGCAAAAGTCAAAAATTTCTGTTAAAAAAAATCTGGTTTTAAAAGATTGTGTGGCTCAAAAAACAATGCTCTAAATAATCTCACTGTTCATACAATGTGGAAAGCTCTTCCATTGTTTCTAAAACATGGGGAAAATGTTACAGACAGGACAACAGCCCAGTGGAAATATGAGAAGAGAAGTAAGCAGTTTGATTCACAAAAAAAGAGAAAGATTGATGTAACTTGAAAACCATATGGTTAGATGCTCAACCTAATTATTCTGCAAAATGCAAATTAAATAACAAAAAATACATCTGTTTTGGAAAAGCTTATCAAGTTTGCCAAAGATTTTAAAAATTGGCAGGAGTGTGAGGAAACAGACATTTTTATATATTGTTGTTGAGAGTACTTGGCAAAATGCAGCAAAAATTTAAATGCACACAAGCTTGAATAGAGGAATCTCACTTCTAGGAATATACCCTGTAGTTGAATACATACCTGTACAAAAATAATTATTGCAGATAACTAGACATCCATCAGTAACACAGTAACACGCAATGCCAAGGCATTCTGAACAAGTATAATGGAGATGAGGTTAAAAAAAAAAGCTTTCCAAATAGAATATTTTCATAAGAACAAAATGTAGAACATAGTTTCACTATTGTTTCTTTTTATGTGTGAAATTAACTTAGTCATAGCTATGAGATTACAGCTACCTACGGTCAAAAACTCTTTTATGGCTTCCTTCATCATTACCAGGCCTTTTTCCTAGGACTCCAGTACATTCTGTATATAGTTAGCATTCTTAAAAATAATATGAACCATGAAAACTTTTTCTGTTATATTATGTTTTAAACATGAAATTTGAACCAAAAGAACAATCTTTAAATTTTTTTACATGAATACATAAATGACAGAGAAATGATATACCAAAATGGCAGGAAGAGGAATACATAAAGCAATTTTTTTTGATACAAGCAAAGGCTAGTTTGCTTTCAATATACACATATATGTTTCTAATACATGTAATAATAAGTGTATTTGGAAAGCATATGCAATTTAAAAATACTGATAAATACTAAATAATAAAATTCTGGAAAAATAAAGGAAATTAAGGAAAGATTTCTTTAAGAAGTAGAATAATACAGTGAGTGCTGAGAGGATATTTGGTTGCTAAAATGGCAATGTTTTGTCTTAGAAAAACAAAATTAGGAGCTCTGCACTCACGGGTGAAACAAAATGCACACTGATGTCTTAAATCTTGTAAGTAAGTAGACAGATTTAGATGATAAGAGAAAATGATCACGTATAGATGGATGGCTCAGGTGGACGATGAATTGTGCTTAGTTCCCCTATTATAAAACTAAGCCAATGCATGATCTTTCACATAAAACACTTGGGTTTCCAGAAACTGGAAACCTAACATAACATAAAGTTGGTATCATAGACCAGAGGTGAATGTCTGATACCCTTTCTAAGATGGTACCTTCTTTCTAGCTCATCTCTAATATTGAGTGAATATGTCTCCCAAAGGATGTGTGTTTGTGTCTTCATTCCTAGGATCTCAGAATAACACAATTTTTGAAAGGAGGATTAAAAAAAAACAGAAATCAGATATAAGCAAGATCATAGGATAGGGATTGGCATTGATCCACAAGTGCTCATATGCGCAAAAAGTGTAGGGGTTACCCAGAGGCAACACTACAAGGAAGGAAGTCAATGTGAAGGTAGAATGGCCATGCGACTCAAAGCAAGGGCTGCCAAAATGTGAAAAAATAGACAGTTTCTAGAAGATTCAGACAAGGAACTTACTTCATATTTGTAAAGTAGCCTGGCCTTACTCACACACCCACCCCACTCTAGCACTTTGAGACTAATTTGCATATTTTAAGCCATCTCCTGTTTGGTGCTCTTCTACAGTAACATTAAGAGATTGATGCAATTCCCTAACAAGGTTGGTTTTGCTTGGACTCTGCTGTTGCCTTGCAAGCCCCAGGAGCCTTTTAAATACCCTTTAGATAAGACAAAATTTTAGACTTCTTCTTGCTTTTACAATGTATGTTTTTTCTGGATTTTAGGTTAGAAAAATCACTTTGAAATATGGCATTGTAAAATGAGTATTGAAAAAAAAATATCAGACATCCAGATACTTAACTAGAAGACTTTTCTAAAGAAGCAGCCTGTGGATACATTTGAGCAACTGGAGCAGGAACTGAAGTTGCCTTGGCAATGAAGGATATAGCAGAAGGATAGCTTGGTAGAGAAGAATGCTTTGCCAGAGAAGTTCCACAAGGAGGCCTGACTATTGTATTTGTATGGTACTGTTTCACTCTTGTTCCAGTGAAGTCTACACTAAGCTGTGAAGTTGTGTTTTTGAAGAGGAATCAGAAGGCAAAGAAGCTGTGGCAGTATCCTTAACTGCTTCTTCTTTTCCTAGAATGAAAACCCCTTTTGTCCTTTGTTCCTGTTGCTGTCAGCATATCACTTATGCAGAGAGATAGTGAATAAGTGGCAAATTTGGTAACAAGTTGACACCTAGGACTGAATGGTGAGGATGTTAAACAAATCTCAGATGCTCCCATTTCATTAGATAGAAGGTTTAAAAAACAGCAAAGTGAGAAAAGAGGCTTGGCACTATAGACATACCATGAAACAAAAGAGTTATGGGCATAGTATTTCAGTCACCTCTGTAACTAATCCAGAATTTTGTAAATGACTTGATCTCATGGGGAATCTGATCTCTGCCTGCACAAGCTACACACAGAAATATATTTCATAGGTGTCCAACCAGAGGAGTACTTGAAGCTGATTTGTTGTGTAAAAATATTTTTGTACACTGTGAAGATGTGTCTTTGCTAAAGTGCCTTCTGATTGATTTAATAAACAGATGAATGGCTAATAATCTAGACAGGAAGAGGTTAGGTCGAACATCTGGGGAGAGAGACAGAAGAAGAGGAGATGAATCTAGGTACGAAAAAGATGCCAGAGGACATGGAGAGGAAACAAGAAGTGCAACATGGAAGAGGTAAAAAGCCATGAAGCAAAATAAAGATTAATACAAATAGGTTAATTTAAGTTGTAAGAGCTAGTGGGACAAGTATAAGATATAGACCAAGCTTTCATAGTTAATAATATGCCTCAGTGTCATTTTTTGTGAGCTGGCAGCCTAAAGAAAAATCCTTTACATTGATTTGTAAAGATAGATATGTATGTAGATAGAAAATCTAAAGATCATAGTGAATGCATCTTTTGTTTGTTTGACTATTTTCTTGTCATCATGATCATCACTGCTGTTTTACTGCAATATTCCTTATGGAGTAATGTGCTTATTCAAAGGAATGCTGATTGTTATTGCATTAGATGCCCCCAAACTAAGCTTTTTTATTCTTTTAAACAGCTAAGGAAAAAAACCTGATTAAGTAGAAAGTACATATTTTGCTAATGACCAGCTGTGCTGGGTAGTTTTATGTCAACTTGACACAAGCAAGTGTCATCTAAAAGGAAGGAATACCAATTGAGAAAATGCCTCTACAAGCAAGCCTGTAGAGGCATTTTCTTATTTAGCAATTAAAAGAGAAGGCCCAGACCACTGTGAGTGGGGATATCCATGATCTGGTGGTCCTATGTTCTATAAGAAAGCAGACTAAACAAGCCACGAGAAGCAAGCCATTATGCAGCACTTCTCTATTACCTTTGTATCAGCTCCTGCCTCAAAGTCCCTGTCCAGAATGAGTTCCTGCATTGGCTTCCCTCAGCAGACCATAATTTAAGATATATAAGCCAAATAACTTCACTCCAAGTTGCTTTTGGTCATAGTGTTTCATCACAGCAATCTTAACCATAGTTAGATACCAGCTAATACAAATGTCTTATTGTTCTGTAGCTTGTTGAGTCACTCAGTCATTTATATTATTAAGTTGACTTTGTGGCTTCTGTTTCCTTTTTATGTTTTGTGTTGAGCAGTTAAATACATAGACTATGTTATAATAAGATAATGTCTTATCCTGCCAAATATGGTAGGAGTCTTACGGATTATGATTATATCTACAGTATCAAACAGCAAATGTGCAGCGAGGAGCTCACTACAATGAGACATGCAGTGATTAGGTGAGTTACAGTGTTACAAATCCTAAGTTTCCATATCTGCTCTACCATTTGAGAAGAGTGTCACCTTGGAGGGTCATTAATCTCTGAGAGTTTTATGTTTGCACTTGAGGGTAATGCATAATTCACAAGATTGTGTTGAGATCAAGTAAGACAATGCAGGTGAAGATATATTTTGCTAGCACAGACTCAACATAGTTCCTTTGGGAGACAAAATTCCTCTAAGATTGCCCAGTGGAATTCAACTGAGAAGGTAGGCAAACTGTTCAGTGTCTAGCAATTTACTTCTTAAACTCAGGTCAATTCCTGGACTTAATTTTAACATTTTTTAACTTACTAGTATGCATTCTAATTTCAAGTTGCTTCCTAATTTAATTTGTACTTATTTTCAATATTTATCTTTGTATTATGTTGTCTGTGACTTGACATCTCTAGGCTAAAAATTGGACTGCTTAACCACTATAAATGTCACACAATAATTTACTGCTTTCAAGATACTAATTATAATTACTGTAAATATTTATTAATACAAACAGCTGGTGAGAATAGACCTTGATAACTGCCTAATTGTTGTAGGTTTAAAGTCTTAACATAACCCTGAATTTTATAGGTATTATCTTAATTTGAGCTGGAAGAATTACAATAAAAATTATCATCAAGTTGATGGTTGTAACACTGCAATTATTCATTACATTTCTGGAAGCTGAGAGGTCCAATATCAAGGTGGCAGTATATTAAGTGGAAGGATTTGATCCTTCATTGGCACCTTTTCACTTTGTTCATGTGGCGGACAAAGCAAGACAACTCTCTCTCTGTGTCATCTTTTACAAATGTTCTAGACACCTAGCAAAGACCCCCAATTTTCAATGTCATAATAAGAGATGAGAAGGTCAATATATTAAATTGGAAAGTGAACAAAGATTCAGAACAAAACCTATATATATTGAGATTTATAAGGTTTAAGAAAATTTCTGTTATACAGCAGAGAAATGAAAGGTGAGAAATTCCAACCTAGTTCTATAAGTCACAAAAATATTATCTTCTACAAGGTAGACACTACTTGCCTAAAATATGAAGTAGTGGTACCAGAAGTCCAGAATATGTGTATGTTTCTGAACATAGATAAGACTTATTTTCTAGTAACAGAGGCTTCTCTGTGCTCAGATATCATCTGAAACTTTACTTACGTAGTATGATGCCATGGACATCAAAGTTGGTCATGCTAGAAGATAAACTTGGAGAGCCATGAAGATCATCAAATATAATAAATCTACAAAAGCTATTGTTAGTTATTTCAATGTATATGGATTGTTCTAAGAAAAAAATGTACTAATATACTTAACCCTGTGTCACTCTACGAAGCCATGCATAGAACAATTTTACCCTAGTTTTGTAGGGTGGAGCTGGGCCAGTCATTGGTGAGAATTTTAGAGCTAATAGCCAGAGAAGTTCCTGGAAGAAACAAGGATGAGTTTGTTATACTGGAAAACAATAGAAAAGATCATTTCCATTTGGTAAGTAAAGAAGTGAGAGAAGAGCCAAGGAGCAAGAAAGTAACAGGTTCAAAGATTGAGCAAGCATTGCCCTTTTCTACCTCTATATCCAGTGACTGGAAACAAACTATTTCAGTAAATTGTGAAAATATCAAATATTTGAATTAATTGATAATGTAGTGTAAGGCAATAGACAGCAACAGCAATCCAGCCTTTGGAGCCAAAACTAGTAGTCCGATTTGAATGTGTTCAAAGTTGAATTTCTCCATTAGGATAATGGCTAACATGAAAGAAACATTTAAATTCACTGTTTCCCTAACAGTTTAAAATATTTTTTCACTATTAAACTGTAAGATAGGGGCTGGAGAATGGCACAGCAGTTAAGCACACTGGTTGCTCTTTCATGGGACCCATCTTCAATTCTCAGCACCTGCACGGTGATTGCGTGATCTGTAACTCTAGTTACACAGGATCTAGCTCCCTCTTCTGATCTCTCTAGGGATAGCATGCATATGGTACTCAGACATGCAGACAGAACATCCCTACACATAAAATAAAAATAAGTAAATCTCTAAAAAAATAAAAGATAAGCTATAAAATAACCTTACTTAATGCTAATAAAAGTGATGTTGTAATTATAACTGTTACTAAAAGACATTTTTATAGTCTATGGGTGTTTGTGTCAGTATGAGTATGCATGCAGATATGTGCTACGGGGGCGGGGGGAGTCTGAGATGCTATTGATTTTATTTTTAGTTGGGAAAGTATGCTGAAGATATCAAAGGGGAAAATGACATTTGGGTACAATTCCTCTTGCAGTTTTAAGACTGAGAGTACAACTAAGTATATTTCAAGAACTGGCCACACAAATAATCAATCAAGAAAGTGACAAATACTTATCATCATCAAATTTGCATCTCTATTATATATTAAAGGATGAAACAGGAAAACCAACCTGGTTTACTCTATTTCCCTGAGAGTCACTGAGTCCAGTAGAACATGAATTGCCTCTAATATTCACATATATTTCTAAAAGTTCAAATAACAATGAAAATGTTCATATATTTGTGGTACACAATATGATGGTTCCGTAGACACATTCACTGTGAGATAATCCGTATAGTCAAATCAATGTAATCATCTGACCATAGTGGCCTCCTGTGTGTGTGTGTGTGTGTGTGTGTGTGTGTGTGTGTGTGTGTGTGTAGGAGGGGGGTATATGCACATTTAAAACATGATCTCTTAACACATTTCAAGTGAATATATCATATTATTCATCACACTATTTACTAGATCTGATTCACTTACACTTATTCATCTCATAACTAAAAGGGAGATACCCTTTTTCCAATTTCTCCTCATTCCCTCCTTCTATGTCAAGAGAAAATTAAATTGTTGACTTGAATCAGTTCCTCCCTATTAATTGGTACATCCTCATAGCAATTAAACTTGCTATCTATCTAAGTGCTCAAATGTCAGGTGAGAAGAAAAGAAGATTTCAAATACATGAATATTGTCTAATCACAAAACCAGTCTTGCCATTTGAAAAGTCAAAATGGAGTTTTCTTCTAATAAACAAATGAAGACTTTTCATCCCTACCTCTCTACACATACTCTTCTTTTTATAGCATCCTGCCTGCCTGATCAAACCTCCCACTCTACCCCCATTACCTGGAGACCTTACCTCTTGATGTAGATACCAGGTTCCTTAGTTCTTTCCTGATGACTTTCTTGGCCTTCTTTTCTAGCCCATATCCCAATTCTTTTGTGTCAGCTATCAGGGACGCCAAGTGGCCATAGTTGGCTGGGAAAAAAGAGGTGATTTTCCCTATCTTTCCTGTCCTCCATTCTAGCCTCTCAATAATTACTCTAAGTTCTATAAGAGGCTGCTTACAGGAGCCCTTCCTTGCACCCTACCTCTACTCCCTGTGAATTCTGCCTCTTGATGGGTACAAACCCAAGTCTCCTTAATTCTTTCCTGCAGCCCCTCAGATTTTCCTTCCAGCTCATCTCTATTCCTTTTTAGTCACACAGCAAGCTGCAAAAGAATGCCCTACCAGGGACTCCACAGCAATCACACTTTTCAAGGATCCAGAGTGTAAAACGGCAATCAAAGGATAGAACATGCACCACACACACACAAAAGAAAACCACCACAACCACCACCACCTCAACAACAACAACAAAAACCAAGATGAGATATTTATACCAAGAAACATTTCAAACATCATTAATCTAGAGATCTAAATACAAGCATAAAAACACAAACATGAAAGCCAAAATGATATGCCTTCTTCTGAAGCCAGTAACCACATTGAAACAGGCCCTGTAAAATGCAGCTCAGCTGAAGCCCAGGATAAGCAATTATGAGCAGGTTCAAGGACCTTAAAGAGGCTATTAATAAATGCCTTAATAAAAATCATGATAACACAAACAAACAGTTGAATGAAATAAAAACAATTCTGGACATGAAAGTAGAAACTAAATAGCTGAAGAAAACCCAAACTGAAGTAAAACATGAAATTAGAAATTTAGAAGTTAAAACAAAAATCTCAGATGTAAGACTTGCCAACAGATTATAAGGCATAGAAGAGGGAATTTGGGGTATTGAAGACAAGTTAAGGGAAATGGTTAGCTCCATCACAAAAGTGTTAAATGTAAAAATATCTAAGCATAAAACATTCAGGAAATCTGGGACAATATGAAAAAAACTATGAATAAGAATGATAGAGAAAGGAGAAGAAACCAAGGTCAAAGGCACAGAGGATATTTTAAACAGAATCAAGATAAAAAAATTCTCCAATCTAAAGAAAGAAGTGCTGATGTACAAGAAACATTTCTTTCTAGGAAATCTCCATTCTTTTGTTAGCTGTCATATCAAATAGACAGAACCAGAAAAGAAATTCCCAACAAAAAATATTTGAAACACTAAATGTACAGAACAAAGAAAGCATATTAAAAGCTTAAAGGGTAAAAGACAAAATAGCATTAAAGGGATGCCCAATAGGATAACAACTGACTATGGAGTCGAAACTCCAAAAGGTAGAAGGTCCTGGACATATATTCTCCAAACTGTGAGAGACAATGGATGCCAGATCAGACTACCACACCCATTAAAATATCAATCACAATCTATAGAAGAAAAAGAAAAGCATTCCAAAAATAAAAAAAAAAAATAAAATAAATTTCAGCAATTTCTATCTACCCATTTCACCCTCTAGGAGGCACTCAATGGAAAACGTCAGTCTGAAGAAGTTAACTACACTAAAAAGACATAAGAAATAAATGATCCCTGAATATCAATCAAAGAAGGGAGAGAAACCCACACTATAAAAACAGAATAACGGAAATCAATAAACAGTGCACATTGATAACCCTCAATATTAATGGTCCCAACTCATCAATAAAAAGATACAAACTAGGATCCATCTTTCTGCTGTATCCAAAAAACATCCTTACCATCAAGGACATACATCAACTCAGGGTACAAGAATAGAAAAATTTATTTCAAGAAAAACAACTCAAGAAGCAAGCAGTTTTGTCCACTTGTTCTCAGACAAAATATACTTCAAACCAAAACTAATCAGAAAAAAATGGGGGGATAATAAATATTCACTAAAGGAAAAATCCAACAAGAGGATATTTCAATTCTTATCATCTATGCAGCAAACACAAGGGCATGTAAGTTCATAAAAGAAACACCATTACAGCTAAAATCACATATTGATCTCCATACCCTGGTATCAGGCAACATCAACACTCTACTTCCAATAATATACAGGTTATCCAGACAAAAACTAAACAAATAAATTTTGGAGATGAATAACATCAAAGATCACAGAGACTTAGCTGACATCCATAGAAGATTATACTCAAACACTAAGGAGTACACTTTCTTCTCAAAAGATCATGGAACTTTTTTCAAAATGGTCTATGTGCTAGGACACAAAGAAAGATTCGTCAGGTAGAAGAAACTGAAATGACACACTGCCTCATGTCTGACGACTGTGAATTAAAGCTGGATAGCAACAACAATTGAAACAACAGAAAGTTTGCAAATTCACGGAAACTGAACAACTCTCTACTGAACAAAAAAAAAAATGGTCAAGACAGAAATAAGAAGGCAACTAAAACCTTTTTTATAATTGAATGAAAATTTAATACAAATACCAAAATCTAGGAGAAAAATTGAAGGCAGTTCTCAGAGACAAGTTCATAGCACAATGTGCCTACATTGAAAAAGAAACAAACAAAACAAAAACTGAAGAAATCTCATTTGAGTAAATCAGTGACATGATTGAAAGCTCTAGAAAAATAAGACTTAATACCTAAATAGAATAGATGGCATGAAATAAACTTAGGGCTGAAAACAATAAAGTGAAAAAATATAAATAACCAATGCAATGAAGAGTTAGTTCTTCAATAGTAAGAACTCGGTTGATAAAAACTTAGCCAAATTAAATAAAGGATGGAAACAATGAAGGGAGACACAGCAGCAGACTCCAGGGGAATCTATAATCCACCAAATTGGTACTTTAATAATCTATAGTCCACCACATTGGAAAACCTAAAGAAAAAAATATATACATTTGTTGATAAATACCCTCTACAAAAGTAAAATCAAGATTGGAGAAGCAATGTAAAGAGACCTAGTGAAATAGAAGCAGTAATTAAAGTCTGTCAATCCCTCATGTACACACACACACACACACACACACACACACACACACACACACACAGCCCAGTACCAGATGTATTCAATGTAGAATTCTACCAGACTTTCAAAAAACAATTAGTGCCAATACTGTTCAAACTTTTCTACAAAATAGAAATACAAAGAACATTGACTATTTGGTTTTATGAAGCCACTACTGCCCTGATACCTGAACCACAAAAAGACCCAACCAAAAAAGAAAATTACAGACCAACGTATATAATAACATAAATACAAAAATTCTCAAAGAAATACCGGCAAACCAAATTCAAGAACACATAAAAAATATCACTCACCATTATTAAGTAGCCTTCATCCCAAAGAATCAGGAAAATTTCAGCATATGCAAACCAATAAACATAATCCACCACAGAAACAAACTGATGCAAAACTAACCAACCAAACAAGCAAACAAACAAAAACACATGCTCACCACATTAGATGCAGAAAATCCTTTTGACAAATCCAACATCCCTTCATGACTTCATGATTAAAAAAAGAAACAAACAAACAAACAGACAGCAAAATAAATGACAACCCTGGGAAGACTAGCAATAAAAGGGAAATACATCTACATAATAATGAAAATCACAGGAAACTCATAGCCAACATCAGTTTAAGCAGAGAGAAACTGAAAGTATTTCCACTAAAATCAAGAAGAATACAAGGATGTGAACTCTTTCTGTACATATTCAATAAGGAACTTGAAGTCTTAACTAGAGCAATAAAACAGATGAAGGAGATCAAGGAGATATAAACAGAAAAGGAAGAAACAAAAGTACTTATTTGTAGATGTCATGATTATGTACAAAAAAAGACCCTGAGAACTCCACCAGGAAAATTATTTGGTTAATAAACACTTTCAGCAAAGTAGCAAGACAAAAAAAAAAATGACACACAAAAATCAGTTTCCTTCCTATAAATAAATGAGAAACAGACTCAGAAACAAATAGG